CTATTTCCAACAGGATTATCCAACAATTCTCATCTCCATTAAATGATGCAAAAGAGAACCAAAATAGACAGCACTCTCTTGCTTTCAACAAGAAGTACTTCCTTCCAGCTTGCTCAACTGGGAGAAATGATAGCTCTTCTCTTATGTTTTTAGAAATGTTACTTCAGGACAGGTGCAGTGGCTCACGCCTATAATCTGGCACTTTGGAGGCCGAGGTGAGAGGACCACCTGAGCCCACGGATTTAAGATCAGCGCAAGCAACTTGGCGAGATTCATCTCTACAATAAGTCAAAAAACTAGCTGAATGTGGTGGCACGTGCCTGCAGTTCCAGCTACTTGGAAGGTTGAGGCAGAAGGATCACCTGAACCCAGCTGGTTGATGATGCTGGGGTGGCCATTAGTGTGCCACTGCATTCCAGCCTGGGCAACAGAGTGAGATTCCAACCCCCCACCCCAAAAGTGTAATTAAACCTCTGCAGTTGGAGACATCTCACAAATAACCTATTAGCAATTTGACTGCACTTTCTGTGTTAGTTGCCCAGGCTGGTCTCAGACCCCTGGGCTCACACAGTCCTCTCACCTCAGCCTCCCAAAGTGCTAGGATTACAGATGTGAGCCACTTGGCCTTTGATTGCACTTTTTAATTCAACAGTGAAAATCAAATCACTTCAGATTAAATAGTAAAGCATTGGAGTTATTTTATTGTAATGATAGCTGGCCTATAATGAAATCTCGGACATTGAGGAACTTATTCATGACAAAAAAACCAAAACTTAAATTTTTCTAACATGTGGTAATGTATGAAAGAGTCACCAACATGCACTGCAGGTTCATTGATACATGTTATACAACAGTAATTTATTTGACATCTTCTACCTGGTGTTCTTCTATTCAAACAATACAGTCTCGTTTTCTTTCTGCCACATTAATAATATATAAGTTTGTTGTCCAACCTGTTGTTCAAAGACGACGTGAAGGGATACACTCATGATTCCTGAAAACCACTTTTCAAGTGATCAATCATATCTTGGTATATATTTTCTCTTTTGCTTTTTTGAGCAACTTGAATAGAACACTTCAAGGAAACATACATTTTTGAAACACGCTCTTGCCTAACTTTGTCCTATATAATCACCAGCACTCTGAGTGCAGAGGGTTAATACTTGTTAGTGATTTTCAGTAAAGCTGCTTTTAATGCAATGTATTCACTTGGACCTTACATACTGATGGCCTACGCCACCAATTCTGACAAAATAGTCAAAAAATAAGCACTAATAAATCTCTATTTGCCAAAGGAAAACCCTGTTTAAGATTTCTTTAGGCAAGATAAGGAATAAAGAACTGACTTTCTGAAGTAACAGCTTCCCTAGGTTTAAAGAGTCACTGCAAAAAAAAAAAAAAAAAAAAAAAAAAAGAATCACTGCCTTATCACAGAACAGTGTGATGATAAGTTATCCTACCTCTCCTGATTTCTACTGGATTAGCGCCTTTGCTGATCTTCTCAAAGCCTTCCTTGGCAATAGAGCGTGCCAGCACAGTAGCAGTGGTGGTGCCATCCCCCGCCTCTTCATTTGTGTTATTGGCAACATCCTGAACAAGTTTAGCTCCAATGTTTTTATATTTATCCTTTAAGTCAATTGACTTTGCAACAGTCACACCATCTTTTGTTACTTTGGGACTTCCCCAACTCTGTTCAATAATCACTGTTCTTCCCTATAATACAGAGGAATAAAAAGTAACAGGATCACACACAGTAACGATCATTTAGATTTTAAAAAACTGAGCAGTCTTAATAATAAGACAACTACTTGAAAGTCTCAACAAGTTGTGTCATTTTTATCACTCCTGCAGCATGAATCTCAAGGGCACATTCAACATTCTCAGTTTGCAGATAAAATATCTCTCTTTTCTACCAAGAGCATAATTTTGAATTAGATATTATGGGGGATGAAAATCCTAGGGACTAAATTTTGTTCTCTTATAAAATACACAGGAACACAAGAAAAACAATGAAATCGCAGAACATTCTTCACATCACATTTTGGTTGCTGCCTATTATCTTTGAAAGTAATGTGATTTGCTTTAAAATTCACTTAACTAGCCAGGTACAGTGGTTCACCCTGTAATCTCAGCACTTGCAGAGGGCAAGAGGATTGTCTGAGCCCAGAGGTTTGTGACCAGCCGGGCAACTTGGTGAGACTTCATCTTTATAATAAATCAAAAAATTAGCTGGCTGTGATGGCACACGCCTGTAGTTCCAGCAGATCGCTGTAGCAGCGGCTGTGAGTGTGCCACTGCACTCCAGCCTGGGTGACAGAGTGAGGCTCCAAATCAAATAAACAAAGTAAAACTCATTTATCTAAACTATTAACCAGCAAGGCATGCAGTGCAGGCTGCCAGGTTCACTCAACATAAAGCCAGAAACATGGCACAAATAGTACTGGCAGTTTTTGGATTTGAACCAAACTGCTACCGTCTATTCCTGAGGTATACAAACACCATGTATTATGCAGTTATTGGATCATCGATATTTGACCTGGCTTCAATCTTAAATGAAGCAAAATTTGACTGTGTACCATTTTCAAAATCCTCCTCAAAATACTACCCCTTACTATTAAATGAAACTTATAATTTTAAATATGCTTTAAAATAGGAGAACAGCCGGGCTTGGTGGCTCAGCCTGTAATTCTGCGCCTTTGGGAGGCTGAGGTGAGTAGATTGCCTGAGCCCGTGGGTTTGAGACCCGCCTGGGCAGCAAGACCTCATCTCTGCAATAAATAAAAAAAAAAAAATCAGCCAGGCATGGTACCACATGCCTGTAATTCCGGCTACTTGGAAGGCTGAGGCGGAAGGATCACCGAAGCCCAGCAGGTTGAGGCTGCGGTGGCCAGGAGTGGCACTGCACTCCAGTCTGGGTGACAGAGGGAGACTCCAACTCAAAAAATAAAATAAAATAAAATAAAATAGGAGAACAGCAGAAAAACAATGCAACCTGGGGGGGTGAGGGGGGTGCTATTGTGTAACGGGTACAGTTACAATTTTTCAAGATGAGAAAGCCCGGAGATGGATGGTGGCAATGGTTGCACAACAATGTAAGTGTAATTCACATCCCCCCAAACTGTACACTTACAAGTGGCAAATTTCATGTCGTGTATATTTTACTACAGTGAACACATAAAAACCTGAGCACGTACAAGCACACGAGGTATTATGGGAGATAAGTTATACATTTGCCTCTATACTTGTCACTAACTATTGGGAAAGAAACCAAAACTTAACTCAAAACAGGCAAGCAAGATTACTTCTACCTTGGGCTATGAGTTACCACCCGATTACATCACACATAGTACCAAATAGTTTCGAAAATCCGAATGAAGCAATGTTAACTTTAAAACCATTGTGTACAAGCAAAAACAAAAGGGAAAACAATGAGTTCTCTAAAAATGGATGCAAAAGTTCTGTTCAATAGTTCAGGACGATTACTTGCATGAATAAAACAATTTTGTTGTAACTGCAATAAAACAAAAACACCGATACCTTTGGCCCCATTGTAACTGCTACAGCGTCGGCTAAAAGGTCTACACCTTGCAGCATTAAGGCTCGGGCATCTGCACCAAATTTTACATCTTTGGCATAGGCCCGAGTGAGATGGGGAGCCAGGGCTCGGGACACCGGTCTCATCTGGCGAAGGACTGCGGGTAATCGGAGCATTTCTGGGAGGAACAAGCAGACAGTCAGTACCAGCCCTCCACGCGGTGCGCTGCACACCTGCCCACCTGTGCATCAGAACACGCGGCGTCAGACAGCGGCACGGCAGGCCCTGCTGGCCACCACACAGCCTGGCCGCGCGGCGGACCCGCGCCAGACCCAGCACGTGCACCCGCTTCCCCACGGCCGCCGCCCCAGCCGCCAAAAGCCAGTTAATTTTTCACCGCTGACATGGCCTCTGCAGACCCGCTCCCGACGCGCCCGAGAACCCGATTCAGCGCGAGCCGCAAGTCACAAACCCGGGCGCCCTGGAAGGCAAAGTATCCCCGGCGAGGCGGAAGGGCGTTCGGTAGCGACCCCATGTATCCGCCCGGGGCTACTGTATCACGGCGGCCCACGTGTCCCAGGACGCCCCCAGCAAGGTCAAGGGTGGAGGCGCCGTGTCCCCGCAGTCCGCAGAGCGGCTGCCTGCGGCCCCGCAGCCCCTGGTGTCCGGGACCCGGCCGGACGCGGGATGCATTGGCGGCCTCAGGGCTTCAGCCCCCGAGACCTCCGGGCCAGCCTCCGAGCTGCACGTGCCG